ATGTTTGGCGGAGAGGAGCTCCATGATGAGCTAGAGAGGCGCCGTCTTGCCAGTGTGTTTGAAGTGTGGGTAGCGTGTGATGAAGTCGCAACAAGAAGTGAAAGGGATTCTTTGTATTGTTGAGTTTGTGTCTGTATCTCTATGTTTGTGTGTGTGTGTGTGTGTGGTCGTGTTTTTCTGTATTTGTAAGATCCAAAAACGATACTATACCACTATACTTGTGGGGTCCAACAGCCTTTTGGGGACCAAATTGCTAGAACACATACGTTTAAATGGCTGTTTGAAGGTTAAGACTTGGTTTTAGGGTTGGGGTTACAAGGTTAGGTCAGGTCATCGTTTGGGATGGGGTTAGGTATTCATTTGTCTTGGTTAAAGTTATGGTAAGGGGGCGGGGAATGCGTTACATCAATGATGAGTCTCCACGAATATTGTAAAACAAGGATGTGTGTGTGTTTGTTACGACAAGAGACAGAATGAGCTAATGTACAGTGTAAGTGTGTGTGGTCGGTTTTATTGGTAATTTCTGTTATCTTTCAGAGTTGCAGGGATAATTCTGTATGGCAGGTGTCCAGATGATGTCTAGTGATAGTGTGGTGTGTGTGTGTGTGTGTGTGTGTGTGTGTGTGTGTCAGTACATGCCTGGCTCACATGGCCCTCTAGGCCCAGAAAACACAATGAATGTGTTTCATTGTGCTTCTATCTTGAACGCATCTAACACCGTGGGCCTGAAGGTAATATTCTCCTTCCTTGGTAACATACATGGGCTTACACACACACACACACACACGTAGCACACAAACAGACACACACTCAAACACATAATTGGTTTTCAGAGGTAGTTCTTTTATAGCTCTTTTCCATTTCATGGCTGTCTCCGTTGTAGAATATGACATTTATGCCTATCTGTTCTGTATGGATACACACAGGCGCACACAGAATAACATACATGTATTCACATCCACGGGGTCTACAATCCGAGACACAATTAAGCACACACTCTCGCGCACAGCCGAACACATGCACACACACACACACACACACACACACACACACACACACACACACACACACACACACACACACACACATCCCCTTGTTGGAAAAAAGGCTGTGAGGAGTCAGACCTCCTTTCAGCCACAATCAGTCCCATCCACTGTTTTTATCTGCCGCTGTGACAAACACACAAACAAAAGCACACATATGTTCTCTACCCCTGAACAGAGCTGAAATCAGGCGGTCATCATCATGCCATCCCTCCCTACTCGCTGTGCCCTGAAACCATCTCTCTCTCTCTCTCTATCACACACACACACAGACAGAGCGATACACCACACACAACACAAGCCCCATGTGGAGATAAATGTGACCAGCAGTCCTCACCCCCAGCAGAAGAAAATCCAATTCTCTTTCACTTTTATCCCTGAGACTAATGTTACTGTCAAAGAAGACACCACCACCAGAGACCAGGCGACTCTGTTTGTGTGTGTGTGTGTGTGTTTGCTGCAGTGAGATAGTGAATTCATTTAAGGTGATGTATTGCTGTCTTTACCTACAATCTCACTGTAGGCCTCTGTGGTGTTGTCCCTGCCTTTCCATGACAAGCTTTTGACCCCTCCTCACCCCCGTCTTTCCTCATCTTCTCTGATCCAACTTTTTTTCTCCCCCCTTATCTTATCAACCCAATACACTCATACATTATACATTCTTTTATATTTACCCTCTATATGTTTAACCTTTTCTTTCTTTCATTGTGTCTCTGGCTCCCACTCTCTTCTTCAGTTTAACCAAATGAGGCTTTATGACGTTTTAACCAACATGTTCCCGTAGCATCTGAATGAAAGAAAGACTGGGGTTTTTGTTTGGGAAAATTTCATGTCTACTTTTGCCATATTTCAGCCTTAAACAAATTCTGTAAGAAGACTTCTGCCTCCACTTCTTCAGTTTCTCCATCCCCTCCTTGTGTCGTCTTTATCTCTCCCCCAGGGTTTTTTTCCCAGCATCTCTGAGGTCTGATTGAGGAAATGTGACCTATTCATCACAACTGACATAGTCTTGTGTGTTTACAAGCCACACACATACACACCATCATTTGTGACTACACATTGTGTGTTTGTTTGTCATTGGCTAAGCTCAGCTGTAGGGGGTGGTACCTAGGGAGAACGCTGTAAAACAGGGACAACTGCTGTTTTTGGTGTGTGTGTGTGTGTGTGTGTGTGTGTGTGTGTGTGTGTGTGTGTGTGTGTGTGTGTGTGTGTGTCTGTGTGCATGTGATTGCAGGTACTTTGTTAATCATTTGTAAGCCCCACCAGATGCCATGCAGGGGACCATAGTGCATGCAGCCTGTCAGTCAACCACCCCTCCATCACACACACCATGCACACAAACACACACTCATTCAGGTGCAGGTGCACAACGGTCCACGGCCACAACCCCCTTCCCCTTGAGGCTGATTAGTATTCATGAGATCTCAGGAGGCCCCCTGATATACACACACACACACACACACACACACACATTCTGGTGGATTGGTCCATTCTAATTATCTCCTGGCGTTTATGGAGAGGGCTGATTAGAAGCTGTCAGTGTGACTGATGACGACATGCCATGTTATCCCCCAGAGAGACAGAGAGGAAGGCTGGTCACAGCTGTGGACGCCACTACTTCTCCAACCTCATCTCTTTATAGTTTGTGTCTTTTCTTCCTTGTAATTCTGCTCCGACTAACAGCCGTGTTGCTATGTCTCTCTGCAGGCAAGCCAGTGATGATCATAACGGAGTTCATGGAAAACGGATCTCTGGACACTTTCCTCAAGGTGAGTCATGGCTCAGCTGGAAGGAACACAGCGCTCACATCTGCCCCAAGGTCAGGGCCGCAAGTCTTAACCAAGGTGCAGCTGTAAATTGTTTGAAGTTGTAGAGTTCATTCAAACTGCTGTACTCAAGGACACATTCTTTTGAAAATACAGATAAGAGACCAGACTAAATGTGTCTTTCATCTCTCAAAGCTGGAGAATTCAATCTGTAAAACTTTACAGAAACCGCCAAGGACTTAAGTTCAGTCCGTCGAGGAGTGAACTGAAGCATCCTTTAAAATAAACAACACTATTTCAGTTGATCAGGCTTTTTGAAGTGGTTTTGATTCGAACCACATTTTTCATGTGTTCAAAAGCAACACATTATTGCTTAACACATAAATGGGCGCAGCCAGGAACAACACATCAGACACCAGTTTGCAATATGAAAAAACATTTCATTAAAACGGAAGAAGAACTACTGTCTTAGTTTCTAGAAACATAACATCAATATACAGGACACACAGGGAGGTAGTCATGATATAAACAGACACAGACACTGAACTTTTTCTTGATTAAGCACGGGCAGAGAGCTGGTGAGAAACATTCACTCAGATGCATGACCTCCCAACGCTTTCATCACATGATGGTTGATACTGGGTCTATAAAACGCACTTAGTGTCCGTATCCCAGAGCAGAAAACAGCAGCAGACTGCGAACAAACAGGCAATAAAACAGAGAAAGCGTATTGCTTTGTGTGCAATATTTGCTCTGTTAGGGGATACAAAAATAAACAGTCCATTCCAGATGTAATGCAACACCACCAATGTCATATGGTTAAGAGTCGAGGCAGCAATTGGGGAAAAACACTGAGAATCACCTCCATCGTGCCGGAGAGATTTAAATCTCATGAACGAGCAGGGAAATACAGTCAGCAGAGATATTATGACCTCAGTAAAGAGAATTAAATATTTTGTAAAGTTTAAATCCATGCCAGAGTATTACAAAAGTAAGTCCAGAGTAGTACATTTTACTCAAGGTTATTGTTGAACCTGTTATCCGTGAACAGATTTAAAAATCAAAGGAAGGCTTTGTCACTGAAAAGCACATTATGACAAGAGTTAGAAGAACCTGTCACACAATACGTCATTACATGAACTGATGTTTTTTAAAGAATTAGTCCTTTAAGCCTGAACAAATCACAAACCTGCAGTCTATACGTTTATCTAAGAAATCTCTATGTATTTTATTAAAACTGACAGAAGGTACTGAGGCATTTCTTAAAAGCTCAATTATATACAAATGAGAACGGCTCTTTATTTAATGGGAGATGCAAGAAAACAAGGGTATAATAATGTGAAATATGACAAATGTGTGATTCATGACTCCTGTTGATACACAATATGTAGCTGAAGTGACAAACAAGCTGTATTTATTTAGCTGAGCAGCCCTGAATTGAGTTTTGCATACACCCAGATGAATGGATTTTTCCAGCTCTTGTGTGCCTCACGTTGAAAGTCCCCCTGATTCATATTCAGAGTTGTTTGTCAGCCAGTAAAATCACTGCAGTGCTCCAAAGCCATTAAGCCTGCGATGATAGGCCCATCACTAAATAGACACCAATCCCATCAGCAACACTGAAGCAGAATGAAATGAAATCTGACAGATAAAAAATGGCTAAAGCATAATGTCTTGACACACACACACACACACACACACACACACACACACACACACACACACACACAGCAACCCACATACGCAGATACAGTGCATGCATGTTGTCTGTTATAACATGTATTCTAATGATGGTCATAAAGTGTGTCCGCAGTGGCTCAATATAATTATGGAATCACTTTTATGGCTTTTACAGCTCATGCGAGCTACTGGCATCCATATGTGTCTTTAATTATGTTGACCATTAATCAAGCAGCTCTCCCTCAGAAATAACAAAAGCATTGTTCTGTCAGTGAAGCTCCTCCTCTTTAAATCTACCCGTCACTATCTTTATCCATCCCTTCCATCTCTTCCCTCCGTCTTCAAGTTTCTCATTTTTTAAGTTTTGGGGCAAAAACTTAAATAATATGGCATAATTTGCCAAAAAAAAGGCTCATTTTCCACCTTTCTCATTTCTCTCCATCTCCTTGTCTAACCTCTCTGCCCTGCATTTGTCTCTTCTCTCTTTCCCTGCCCTGCCCACCCTCCTTGCTCCCCCTTCCTGGCAAGGCAATGTGGTGGGCAGATTGATAGAGGAAGTCTGTAGGTTTGTTAGACAGTCCAATCAATCAGCATCTCACAAAACCACCGGCTAATTAACTTACTCCACAGCTGCCGAGGGAGAGACAGAGAAAGAACGATAGAGGAAAGGGAGTGCGGGGGGGGGGGGATGCACAGATGCAGAAAGATGAAGGAAGATAGATAGATAGATGGAGACTGAATCAAACTAATACAGAGTTCTCTCTCGCTCTCTCTCCCTCTCTCTCTCTCTCTCTCTTTGAGACGGAGACTGAGGAGAGACAGAGATGGATGGAGAGAACCAAAAGACAGAGGGAAGGAGAGATGATATAAAGGAGAGAGGGTGACTGATAACATGGATGGCTTTTTAACGGGGACCATTGGCCCGGGGCAGAAATAATTGGCAGAGGAAGGTGAGCTGGACCGCCATCGATCAACAGGCTCGACTCTCTGCCAAAGACAGCTCAAATCTGAAATCCAGTGAGCTCTGCTTGGGCACGCGGTCGGTGTTAAGAGTGGGAAGTTTTGTCTGCTCTGTCAGATCCAATCCTCTGCACGTAGGATTTTTTTTTTTTTCTCAAAGGTGATCCTCCATTGATCCCTGGAAGGAGGAAATTCATCTTTTGCTCTCCACCCTCCAGAGAGAGGTCAAAGCGCAGAGTTAGCAGGGGCTGGAAAGGATTCAGACTCGTGCTCAGGAACACTTCAGAAGCGTGGATTGGTGCCATCAGAGGTGCTTGAATCCTGGCCTGAACCTTCACTTCCAGCTGAGGTTGCTGAAGGACCCGGCACTAATCTATGTGCCACCCCTGCTGCTACTTAATGTCAGCGTTTACACTGTGCACTGTGCATTAATTCATCTTTCTCCTTGTCTCTCTCTCTCCAGAAACACGATGGCCAGTTCACGGTGATCCAGCTGGTCGGCATGCTGCGTGGCATCGCCTCAGGTATGAAGTACCTGTCAGACATGAGCTACGTTCACAGAGACCTGGCAGCGCGGAACATCCTGGTCAACAGCAACCTGGTGTGTAAGGTGTCGGACTTTGGCCTGAGTCGGGTTCTGGAGGACGACCCAGAGGCTGCCTACACTACAAGGGTAAGACACACTTTTCACAGGCTGCATCTGTCATAATTAAATGTTATCTACAATTACAATGTGAGACCCCCCCCATTGTACTCTGCGTTATTGTTCCTGGTCCAAAACAGGCTGGCAAAATCTCTACTTAAACCAGATGTGCATAAATTAAATTTTCAAATGAAGAGACATGCTGCAACGAGGGGCCCAAAAACAGCCAGAACCACTTAAAGACAATTCACTGCGAATAGTTAGTCATATTAGTCATGACATATATTTTATTTCTCCATGCACTTCACAGTTTACGCCTCCTGTGATTATTGTGACATAACAATTGATCAAACATGATAGTGAGTCCACTTGGGGTATTAGAGACACTGCATAGATGCGCAAATCTGAGACCGGCAGCAATATCAAGGGACCTTACAGGACCTGATTAGAATAAATATAATTTGGACTTGTGTCCCAGGTTGTACAGGTCCATCAGCCAGTACTGTAAACAAGTATCCCAGCATGCATTGAATATCAACCACTGGCTATAGCGAAGCCTGTGACCCAGACTCACAACTATTACAATAATTTTGGTCCTACAGCTGTTTTTCTATCATCAAATAAAGTTTTGACATTTTAGTCAAGTGAAAAAACATTTAGTTATTCAAATATATTGTTGGAATGCTACCATAATGAAAACTTCAAACTTGGCTCCAGTGTTTTTTTGGAGATGTGTGAGGACCCATTTGCCGGGTAATACCAACCAGTCATCTTGGCTCAGCTCCAGAGACGACCAGCTGATCATCATCTGTGCTCATCTCCACAGGAAACTCACTAAATGAGCCCTTTGGTAATTTACTGAGGGCTCTGACGTCTCCATAGTGTCTTAAACATAAGATCTACAAAACCTTTGAGTTGAAAATTTATGCAAAACTGGTTTATCTGAAGGCAAAGTAAAAGTTGATATATTGTATTGGACTGCTCATATACACAAGAGAGGCAGTATACACTGCCTCTGTTGTGGCTGGTTTTTTGTTTTTGGTACAGATCTGCCACACTTACGTTAAAAACTGATAAATAAGCTGTGTACACATGAGTGAATAAAGGCCACATCTGTTCGCCACATCTCATGGTCAACAACAGTCCCTGGAAAAAGAGTCTGCTGAATCCTCACATTCATTCAACTTGCCAAGTTTGAACTCTAAAAGGTCTTATACTGTATTACACAGAGCACTCAGTTTAAAACTAAGCTGTTTTGTTTAAGATCACTGCACACAATTGATGGTATAAACATATGATGTTCACAAAATAAAATGCATAAACAGGATGAATGAAACTCCTCCTCCTCCTGTTTTTTTTTTCCTATATATAGTCAAATTGAAGAACTCTTTGTTAACATCTCCATCCTCTCACAGAGCTCTGAGAGAATGAAGAAACTCAAACGTCAGTGAGTTAAACCACTGCGGAGTAACTCATCTAAAATGCCCACAAGGCGATGGCATTATTCATATTCATAGGAAGTGTTGGGGATGTTATTTTTAATATGGCATTAGCATTGCCCTGGGAGGAGTGTATCAGCCGCTGACTGCTCTATTGCAATCACACACACACACACACACACACACACACACACACACACACCGACTTATGTCAGGAGACCTAGATGGAAAGCTGCAGGCATGGAGAGGGGGAGGGAAAGGGAGAGGCCGAGGCGGAGATGGGGAAGAGACAGGGAGAGAGTAGTGGGTATCGAATAAGACCGAGGATCTAGAGAGGCAGAGAGAGAGAGAATAAGGGAAGACAGGGGGAAGGATCCAGTGAGAGCAGTTAAGAGAAAAAAAAAGAAAAAAAGGAGATGGTGTAGGGGTGGACAGGGGGTGGTGGAAACGAAAGTACAGTGCTGAGTGACTTGGCAGCTTTGTCTTTTATTTGACTTTGACCAAGAAGAGATGGGGAATACTAGGTGGTGCAGAGGCAGCTGCCGCATGTTAAAAAGCTGGAGCGAGCCCTATAGAGGTAGAGTCTGTGTGAAGACAAGAGAGAGGGGGCGGGGATATCTCACTGCCTGTTGTGTCTATACACTGGGCTTTATGGAATCCTTTTGATCTGCGCATCAACAACAAAGGCAGCGTGGAGGAAGACAAGGAAATTGATGGCAAAGGAAAGTCAAGTGCAACAACAAACACAGAAGCAGAAGTTGAAGCTAATGCTGAACGCATATTAGAGAGGAGTGCTCTTTTGTCAAGCTTGTGTATATTCTCATCTGCTGTGTTATTGATGGCACCAGGCTTCTCTGCAACACGTACCAATAAAACAATCTTTAAATATTTACACTATTACAGACAGGGTAAAACATCAAGTTCAGGATGTCATATTCAGTCTGCCAACAATGTGCTGACTGTGATGTAAACCGTTCACAGGGAGGGAAGATCCCCATCAGATGGACGGCTCCGGAGGCTATAGCTTACAGGAAGTTCACCTCAGCCAGTGATGTGTGGAGTTACGGTATCGTCATGTGGGAGGTGATTTCATATGGAGAGCGACCCTACTGGGAGATGTCCAACCAGGATGTGAGTCAGAAACACGTACCTCATGTCTCAATAGTCTCATGTCTCATGTATTATTTTTTTTCCCTCAACCCTCAGGTCAATTCTTAACTATGAAAATGAATTTTCCTGGACATTTTTATTTCCCTTTTCTTGCATTGATTACAGAACTTAATATCTGCCTCTGTCTCCCTGTAGGTGATCAAAGCAATAGATGAGGGCTACCGTCTTCCCGCTCCGATGGACTGTCCTGTGGTGTTGCACCAGCTCATGTTGGACTGCTGGGAGAAGGGACGCAGCGACAGGCCAAAGTTTGGACAGATTGTCACAATCCTGGACAAGCTCATCAGAAACCCAGCCAGCCTCAGAGAGCTGGCCAACAGCTCAGTATGGTCAGTGGGAGAAAGTTATAAATTAAAGCTGTGAACTCAACACTTTCACCGACACATGCACGCAGTCCTGAGATACAAGGATTAGATTATATGGTGGTATGTGCACAGACGACATAATGACTGCCTTCCATCTATGTTGTACATCTACTTTATAAGTATTGAAAATTGGGCAAAGTAGAAAGAGCCTTTTTTTCAGTAAGATCTTATAGTCAATCTTATTTTTTATCCAACAAAGTAATATTTGTCAGTGAAAAGATATAAATATAGGTTTGTTGTTTGGCATATCCATAGTCTCACATTCAGTTTAGACACCCTGTCTCCCCCAGCTGTACTGCACACATACATAGAATATCATTATTTTTACATTTACATTTTACACTTCAGGCGTTTGGCTGATGTTGTGAACCAAACTAGCAAACCGAGTGAACAGCAGAAGATATTTCAGTCCCTTTCAGCGGAGACAGAAGATACTCAAAGACTGCACTTCAAAAGCACTACCAACAAGAGGCAACACATTGTAGACAGAATGAACAACATGATCACAAAGAAGAGTCTTATACAGCGGACTTATAGACTATAGCATGGCTTTAAATGAAGCACATATACCAGTGGGTGTAAGCGCATATTGAATGTAAGTGTAAGTGCAGCTGCAATTAGTCCTGTGTATACAAGGTATTTACAAAGTTTGAGCATGAAAATGAATAAATACACAGATCATTTATAACAATTTACAAGAAAAGGAAGCAAGCACATACGTCAAAGGGTTTCAAATCATGTACGCCTGTGCGGAGGGGGGGCAACAAGGGGATGAATCATTAATCATACTTACCCACTAATGGGTAGGTTTAAAGTTTAGGGTTCATGTTTTCTTTTCACAGTGGATTTGAGTCTGTCATGCTGCGGCTGTTGCAGAATTTAAACTATTCTGTCCAGATCCAGCACCATGAATAAGCATTAACCGACTCCTCAAGTGTGCTCCCGACAGTTTTTATTATTATGAATAACAGTAGTCGAATTTAATAACAGTTCCAAGGGCGAGTAACTGACTTCAACACAAGTCGGAAATTTTTTATTTAGCCACTCAACAGGCCGAAGCTTCATTGAGTTGTGAGTGTGCTTTGTATCCCAGCAGGGAGGACCCGTCCACCCCAGAGTTCAGTGTGAATACAGTGGATGAGTGGTTGGAGGCCATCAAGATGGGCCAGTATAAGGAGAACTTTTCCAGTGCTGGATATGTCAGCTTGGACTCAATCCTCTACATCAGTGTCAGGTACAAACGGCTGGTGCCTCGTCCCTTTAAAATGAAACACTCAAAAGGTCAAGATTGTCAGCAAAAGACGTATTATTTAGACGTATCATTTGAAATTAAAGAAGGGGGTTTACACAAGTATCTTGGACAAGGAATCTCAAGCAGCTGCTTGGCATTTGAAGGACAATGTAGATTTATTTCTCTAAAAACATCATTAATAAATCATTTTTTTCTGTTTTTTCTTTCTGTCTTTTTTCTTTTAGTGAATTGGCTAAAATGGGTGTGACTCTGGCGGGCCACCAGAAGAAGATTCTGTCCAGCGCGCAGGGCCTGCAGACCCAGGGGACGCACGTCCAAGTATAACAGTTTCCACATAAACACACAGTGAGACAGAGCCAAAATGGATGCTCCTGTGAAGAGTTTCCCCCCCCTGACATGGAGTTGTAATGGATACTCTGTGCTCGGGCCTCCATTGACTTTGAGACACACTGAGATGGAGACAACATGGACGCTTGACTCCTTCACCTTCGCGCGCAGTTTCACCATTCTTCCCATCCTCGATGGGCACAACCGGCTTTAGCACTCAGAGTCCCAGCAACACAACCACCATTATGGAGCAACGGAGAGACACATGTCCAACAACAAGGCCACATGTAGAGCATCCCAGATCATTTCACATCATATCAGCGCAACAAAAGAGGAAAATAAAAAAAAAGATTTTTAACAAAAGAAATGACAAAAAAACAAATTAGAATATAATTATCATCACTGTCTGTGAGGTGTACAGTTGGTTTTTACTGTCATTTTGTTTGTTTTGAGTTTTCACCTTGAAGAGTTTTAAAAGGGTCAGAAGATATGTATATGTGTAGATATATGTTTATATGGGCTGTGTGTCCCACAACCGTAGAGATGGACCTAACGTTTGTATTGGTGGTGAGGTTTATATCGCTCAACCTTAATAGGAGTTATTATCTAGTACGTGTATGGCCCCTTCCATTGCTCTGTGTATACAGAAAGGCAATGAATGGGCCGAGATTCTGAATGACATGAATGTGTGGGGTGAGGGGAACAGAAAACCTGGACCTTTAGAGATAGAGAGGGATGTAGATTTTTGCTAGCTCATGTAGGATGGAAGTATGATTCATTTAAATAGTGTATTTGACCAGGACAAGGGCTTCCCTAGTGACTGCTCTCAGACACACTTCCATAGCAACTAGACCCAGTGCACGTTTGCTTGTCTGCTTGCACTTATGATGTAACTGAGTGCAAAGTAACAGCAGAAACAGCTTAAGGTGGAGATAGCACAGTGAAAATTTTTACTCTTCCATAACTGTCTATTCCAAACAACATTGCCTATTCAGCTGTTATAGTATGATGTTGTTGGGAATATTTCAGCCCAAGAATTTGCCTTCCCATGTTTCAGGTGTGTTAAGAAATTTATAGTGTTTTGTGTGAAGCAAAGGTGATGCAAAGGTCATGATAGAATTGACACTGTTAAGAACGTGTAACTTGTTTTTCCAGTGTTGTGCCATGTACAGTACAGTAACTTTGAAATGTTCATCTGGGCAACATACCACCATTCCCTCTATTCTCTTTCCTTTCATCAGCTCTCATGGCTGGATGGTTACACAAGGCCAGTCACAATAATTACAGTGTTTTGTCCAAGTAGTTTGCCTGATGAAAAGGAGCACTGGAATGGATTCTTTTTTTTTCAGCAAGATGAAATATATGCAGTGTTGATTTCAGCTGTGCCACCGAGGGTTTAACTTAAAAAAAAAGAGGATTTGTGTGTCGTGTACTATCTCACTTTCTTGTTATCTGTCATGCCAACCTATTTCAAGCATCCCTAGTTTCAAACCAACACTTATAAGGCTGATTTACAACACAATGTTTACAGAAAAAAGCAAATAAATTGGTTTGCTTGTTTTTCCTTGTCAGAAGGAAACAGCTGCTTATCACATTAATTACAAGGTTAGATATGATGGGACCCTCTTTGTGTGCACTGCATTAATGGCACTGAATCTGCTTTTAGTGTATTCCCAAACCCAGTTTTAATATATGTGGTACTCTATAGGACCAACAGTGGCATAAAGTACAGTATATATGATTGTATCATAGTGTAAAATATGTACAGTGTTGATTTCCAATGTTAGAATGTTTGTAATGATAACAATGATGATGACTATGATGTACTTTTATTGTGAAAAAGAGATTTCTGAAGTACTCGTTCAGGGGCGGGTCGTAAGGGAGAAAAGTGAAGGGAGGTGATTCGTTGGTATGAACAAAGGAATGTAGCATGGCGCGAAGCTTCAGCTTTGATTGACAGGTGACAGTGACTGCAGTTTCTACCATAGTGTTAGAATGAGTAGAATGTACTTTCCTTATTGATACACTGGCTTAATTTGCATACCCAACTTAGACAGTAATTACATGCATATTTTAAGCATGTCTCCGCATTCAACATAACTTTTGACAATACTTGTTTAGGTAAGGAAGGGAGGGAAGGGGTGAGGTTGAAATAAGTGAACTCTTCTAATCAAATTTCAACGCAAATTGAAAATTCTTTAAACACCCTCCCCCAAAACAGCAATTGTCTAATCCTAGCCAAGCAATTGTACCTAGGAATGGCAGACCTGTCAAGTTTTGCATTTCTTCTCATGTCCAAGTGGTGTGCATGGACCTGTAGTAAGAGTAGGAGAATTAAAGAGTTTGAACGCTAATGTCATTTTTTCCCCTTTGCAAAACCAAAAACACAAGAGTTAAATTGTAATATTTAGATTAAACAGTGTGTTTATCTCTTCTAATGCAAGCTACAATTGTTAGCATGTCTGGTTAATTTGCCTACCTACAGTTGTAACCAAGCAGTACTTCCAAGGTCAAGGTCAGAAGTTTGTGGGGTTGCAGGTTATGTAAAAAAGGAGGACGTCCGCTATGTTGTATTTCCTCGCTTAGTTGAAGCCAGTTCTGGATGCTATCAGTAGGGTTAGAAGCAATGTCCTGATTTTCTCTTGTGAAAAGAGAAACACACGGTTTAAATATATGATGAAGTAACTCTACACAGCAATACAAGAGCAACACCATTTCTATGTGTTCTATGTGAATCATCAATTGGTGAGGATGCAAGCTTTTTGCCTGGGACATGCAGCTTTAGCCTTGGTCTTTTAGTACAACATCATGTGTGTAGCCATCAAGTGCATATCTAAGACGCTTATCGCAGTCATGTAAATACTTTTTTCCAACATGATAGGATAGCCGGAGATGGCATTTTGAACCAATTCGTGGAGCAAATGATAGCTTAAGTAGCTAGCTAGCTACATCCGATGAAATGTAGTGGAATTTTACTAGCAATCATTTTAGCTGGCAAAATTAGCGGTCACCAGCTATAAATAAGAAAAAATTGCTTTGTTAAAATTGCTTTTAACTGTCTCCATCTGAAATCCATTGTCTCAAAAATTACGAAGAATTTTGATGGTAAATCTGCCACACTTATCACTGTGTTGTGCTAGAATGTAAAGCTTGACAGGCCTAGCAACAGTAACCAAGGGGTGGGTCTTAGTAAACTGTCAGTTGGGGCGGAGCCAAAATGAGAAGCAGAGTAAAAATTTCCACCCCTGCTTAGCAGCACAATGAGGTTTTTTACTTGTTAAATGTTGTTGTTAAATATGTTTAAATACAGAAGGCATACAGATACATTTACAGCTAAAAGAACATAATATAGAGATTAATTTCTCATTGCCAAACCACTTTGCTGTTTTGTCAAATAAGCCACAGGCAAAAATACAATTCAGACAGTCTGATACTGTTCATTCTACTCTTGCTAACTCTATGATTTCACTCTAGCGGACTACCCTTGACCGCTGGCCTTTTAGATGCCTTATTTACTGAGCTATTGTTCTTTTCTGTTGCCCTATAGAGGCGATATTAAGAGTAAAGTGTATGTACAGGTAGTATTTATCTGTGTTCTTAAGATGACCTCACATCAACACCCTGGTTTTGTAACATCTCAGAGACCCCCTCCAACTGCACCTTCACTTTCTACGCGGAAGAAAATCATTTTTTTCTGAAATATTACATTAAACCTTGAAGCTTATCACCAATTAAGTTGATGGAGAAAATGACAATATTGTGCTTATTTATGAGTAATAACATATTCAGTGATGAAAACAAAATGCAAATAATAGATGTGATTGGCTTATATTTTGATATATTTGGTTGCATTATTGTGTTAATGTGAAAAATTCCTCATTCAAAGTCAAGGTTAGAACAAGATGAAGTATCGCCCAAAATATATCAGTAAATAGTGACAATGTTCTCCTTTTTTTTTTTTTCTTTTTCTTTTTTTAACAAGCTTGTTCAACACTCCCATTTTTAGAAATTTTAAGACTACAGAAGTTATACGCACACTTTGGTTTCAACTCTCCAAATCCCAAGTTTGTGCCACTATTCACCCTATCAAGGTTAGCTATGTGGGTTGGTTTGCTTGTTCTGAAACATGGCATCTGTCCTCCATTTCCCACCAGGTATGTATTGTAAATGTTCATGAGTGATTCTCATTTGAGATGTTCAGCTCTCTGTCTCTTTCTCTCCTCCTCCCTCCCTCTCTCTCTCTCTCTCCCTCTCTCCCTCTCTTTCTTTGGCCACCGTACAGTGCTTATTTGTCCCCATGCCAGTTTCCTCTGCGTTGCTTGTTGTAAAGGGTGTAGGCATTCTAATGTCTTTCATGTTGCTGTAATAAATATGCTAATATTTCTAATTTCTCACCTGAAGCCTGCAGTGTCTTTTTCTTTTCACACATCTGCTGCATTTTTCTTTCTGTCTCTCAGACACACATATTCACATATGCACACAGAAATACACTCATTCACTTGCTCAATTCCACAGTACAATTACATTGGGACTTACAGAATATGATGATTTAAAATTCAAAGAGCCTTTAGATTAAAGTGTTTTGAAGCCCTCACTTAATTATTTTTTCGCTGTGTAACAAAGCCTGAAGGTATCAAATTTTGTTTTGGTGAGCACCTGACCGGTCGTGCAGAAAATCAGTGAATGGGAAATTCAAGGTTAGTCTCATTTATCCCCAGCCCTGTCTAAATGGTGATAGTGGTCGTGAAACTCCTATCATGCCATTCTTAAATGGTAAAATATGGCCGGTCTGCAACCACATCTTCATTATCAGTGTGTGTGTGTGTCTGTGTGTCTGTGTGTGTGTGTTCCCTGAGAGATAATTTTGTCTCAGGGGAGGGGGAAGGTCAATGACTCCTGGCCTTGGTTAACCCCTTAATGCACTGGCCCAGTTGCTGTCAGTCTATGTTACCGCCATTACACCTCATTTAGCCCATCATATTAGGTTCCATATTTCCCTACCACTCGCTCCCTCCTTCTCTTTCTTTCTTTCTTTCTTTCTCTCTCTCTCTCTCTCACACACACACACACACACACACACACACACACACACACACACACACACACACACACACACACACACACACACACACACACACACGGCTACAAATCAGGTCTCTTCTCCATTTTCCTCAGTATCTATCCCCTCCCTCTGCCCTCCACTTAATCTTTCTGCTGGCCTCGTGCATCCTCATTTTTTACCTCACCTTTCCTATCCATCCTGTGCAGACAGACAGAAAGGTTGTGGCTAGTCCTCCGACCTCGAATACCCCATTATCTCCCTCTTCTCATAGCTTTCTGACTTCCCCTGCCTCCATCCATCTACCCATCCAACCATCCATCCAAAGGTTTTCTCCACATGCAGCCCTCTCTTAGAGGTCCATTGCCTCTTTCTGTCTCACTGCTATCACCACTGGGTTTCCCTTCACCATTAAAGGCCAATCTATAACTTTGGACTTTTGTCTCCAGGTGTCTCAACGGGGAGAATGTCATCTCACGTATTTACTCTGGATAACATGGAAGCTACCAGGAGCCAAAGGCTTAGGCGATTGATTCATCATGCAGCTGCTATTGGCATCATGTGAAAAGGTCAGGTGTCCCTATGGAGAACACTTTAAAAGGCCATTGGTGACTGATGAGCCTGTCATGTTTCTATCACACACACACATGCGCAAGTACTCTCTCACTCTGTTTCTCTGCCTTCCCCTCTATTCCACCGCTCTGCTCTCTCTCTCTCTCTCTCTCTCTATGACACACAGACGTTCACACTCCCATGGGAATGGTAATTGGGCAACTCTGTCATGCTGTCAGGTGTGGGTTTGAGTGTCCCCTCATGTGCAACAGCAGACATTAAAATAACACAAGAGACCTAACTGCAACCGTGACCTCAGCAGGGGTCAGCCGTGTGTGTGTGTTTGAATGTGTGTTTGTTCATAAATGTGTGACTGTTTGTAATGTTGTGAGACCAAAACTGGCGCTTATATGTAAGTGAGTGAGCAGCGCGAGCAATAAAAATGAGACAAAATGAGAGGAGATCAAATCTGAACCAGAGGAAAGATTTCATCGGTCATTGGTTAAATTTACTGGAGTTCCTGTTTCGTCGCTCTTGATTGCGTTGCGTGTGTCTTTTCTAATCGAATATGGTCGAGTTCAGACAGGCTCAGTGTTTCCCAGTCCGCACACACACCCACACACACATACACGTACACATCAGTCCTCTTCTGTCTCATGAGGTTTTAGTTTGCTATCAAAGCGATTTCCTGTCTCAAATTTTCATCAGTAATCAAAGTTCCTGATTGAATTTGAAAAGTGAGCCCAGCTCTATAAATCACATTACATGCCTCACTCCCATCATGCCTGCTCTCATCAGCCACAGGAATGAGACGCCACCCTGGGTGTATGTCTGCGTCATGGTCTGTGTCTGTGTGCGTGTGTGTGTGTGTGTGTGTGTGTGTGTGTGTGTGTGCGCACGCTCGTGTCTGTGTGTTCTTGTGTTTGCAGTGGATCGGGAAAATGGATGTTGACAGAACTGTGATTCGATCCATGCAATTTTTTGTTGGGAGAGATGATAGAGAAAGAGTGGAAGGATGGTAAAATGACAGTTAAGATAACGCACCTGGATCTGGTTGTATGTGTAAATAATTCTTGGCATTTGTTTTAGTGTCAACTGAATACCAGATAGGTGGAGTTAATTTCATCAACACACCACAAATAGTCAAGTGAATTTCTTGGTTTGCTGTTGGTATGGATGGAATAGTGAACTGGCTTACCAGTTGCAGGCCCAGGGGTCCAAGGGGTCAGAGACTCCGACCAAATCCAATCCACTATATGTTTTTCTTTAGTTCTGCCTTTATATTGCAGCTGCACAGGATACTGAGGCTACAGTAACATTTCACAAAATAAAATTTGTAAAACAATTTCAATCAGTTTATAGCAGAATAGCTTTGCTTCAAGAAAATACGACCTGCATGTCAGGCTTCCTTTGATGGTTTTCTTTTTGTATAGTATAGTGTCTACTAGAACATCTGTTTAAAAGGAAGGTCAGGTGCAGTTTTTGAACCGACAAGGAAATCTCAAAGTTCTGATTAACCTGCAAAATGTGACTGAAACAGACTCAAAACTACACTCAAAACTACAGCAAAGACATGCAAAGCCACCACAAAGAGATGCAAAACAATACAAAAGAGATAAAACAACTAAAAAGAGACACAAAACGATTAAAGAGACACAAAATAATTTAAAAAAAAGACCACAAAGAAACACAAAACAACCCTAAAGAGACATAAAATGAGTTTAACAAGACACAAAGTGACAACAAAAAGAGACGCAAACCAACGACAAAGTGACACAAAACGACCAAGGGCTGGTTTATGGTCACTCAGAATGAGTTCTTAAGATGTTCTGTTCGACCACATTGGAAGTAATAAGTAAGTACTGGAAGATGGAGTAAAAAGCCAGTTGTGATAAAGAGGCAATATTGTTTAAAAACAGGGATTACAACGCACATTTTTAGACAGTCTCTGCAGGAAGATATTGATAGTGTTGCACTAAGTTGTTCACATTAAACGCGCCACAAATAGTTGTGTAACAAATGAAAAAGGAGAGCAAGAGAGAGAAGTACAATGCCCGACTCCTCTCTCACCTCCACATAGCTAGCCAATCACGGCGTGAAGTGGGTGGTTGGCGGACGGAAAGTAACAGAAATAGTTGGACACAGACACCCCCCCCCCCCCCCCCGAGTTCCAAAGCTATCTGACCAATCAACACAGAGTTCAGCAGGAGTTGAAATCCCACCTAAAAAGGAGACACAAAAAAGAGACAAAAAAAAACAACAAAGAAGAAACACAAAGAAACACAAAATGGCTAAAAATAGACCGTCTCCAGGGAACCATTGTCTTGCAATCCATCCATGGTTGTTGGCACCAAATGAGCTAAAGACCGTAGACTTTTCAAATGCTGTTTGACCAAAGTCAAATCGGTAACCAGACAGTGAATCAGCAAGAATACTGCCTGTATTGGACAGCTGTCACCACCTATAATCAGGAACAGATTTCAAAAATGGAGCAGAAGCAGATAGAGGATGAACAGAATGAGAGGAGAATAAATAGTGTTCGAGTTTGAAAAAAAAAAAAAAAAAAAAAAGGTGAAGAAAAACTTGGATGGGTTTGGAGGGACTGAGATAATATTGACCACATAATCCCTTACAGATGTGGAAATCAGTGTTTAATGCCTGGCAGACATGACATGCTGAACTGCTATTGAATGACTCAAGAGGGACTCTGACCAAAGACAAACTCGCTCTCACTCCAATCGTGCTGTCTATCGCTGGGGAAGAGATGATGAAAATCTAGATTTAGAGCAAATGTAGCAAGACCACATCTGCTGGTCTATAAATTACACAAACAGATACACACAGGGCTGTATGTCTTCCCAGGGCTCAGTGACTCACATGGAGCGATAGCCTTATTTTCTGTATTTAAGTGTAATTATACGGCTAATGTCTTCCTACTCAGAAAAACACAGGCCTAGTTCTGCCCTTCTGTGAAATCCCGGTATGAACCCTGCGTGTGACAGCTGATTGCAGTAGGTTGCATGATTTCCTTCGCTTGTTGCCTATGTGTGTACATGTGTGTACATGTGTATGTAAGATGGAGAGACATGAGTGTTCTTTTGTACACACCACGTGTTTAAGTGCGTCTCCTTTCCTGTATAATCAAAGGCAGCTCTTCAAGTGCCATCAATCAAGCTTTGATGTTTCATGGAAAGAGTCTAGAAAGCACAGCAACCCCCTCCATGCACTGAGGCTGGTTGTAGCGTCGGTGGATCCATAGGAAACGTTTTCTTTAACCAAAAGTAGGTGTAGAAACTCAGGGGTCATCAACTGCCTATGTGCATTGTGTAACTCAACAGAAAATGTGGCTTTCCTCAGGGTACTCTCTAATGCCTTGGCTGGTGAAAATAGATGTTTCTGTGGTTTATATCTGCACAGTTTTCTGTAACATCAAAGCATCAAAACAATATGGTTGTATTCTGCACGGCAGTCTGAATACTCATGCTCTTTTCATCATCCTATTCTTTCTCGTCACCGTTTGTTACAGTGCTTTTCCCATGGTTTGTCTCTCATCCGAAGAGGACATGAAGCAATGGGGTTACATTCACAACGCCAACTGCAGTAGCACAATTGTTATAAATAGAAATAAATACAGATCCAGTTTATACAATGCAATGTAAAAAAGATCTTTTTGAAGGTAGGGTAGTACTGACCAGTATGGCTCTCACTAACCCGCACACACTGTCGGCAGCAGAGTTAAAATGC